AAGAGTGTCCTGAAACTCTTGGGGCTTATCCAGACCCCAGAGAGAAGTTTTAAAGGGAAAACTCCCTGGGCCCGAATTAATATGGAAGGAGGCACACTCCACTCTGAGCACCTAACAAAGTGAACTGGGCTGGCAGGAGCGGGAGGTGGATTCCCTGAGGGTAGGCTATTTTCGCTGAAACGTAAAAGATGAATAATAATACAAGCTTATACTGTCATAAAAGCCCTCAGAAAATAAATTCAGTTGACATGTGGAAATGTTTGTAATTCAATGTTAAGTGAAAAAAATGAGACTTAAAGCCATATATAGATATCTATATGCCATATGCAAAAATAATGTAGCTAAATATATACACATGTGTGTGGAAATTTTTTCTGGAACATCAAAATGTTAACAGTCGTCCTCTGTAGGTGGAAGTACTGGGGAATTCGTCTGTCTTTATTCTTCTCTACATTCCTTGCACGGTGTTTTGATGCTCTCAAATAATAGGGTGCAGCCCCTAAGGTTCCATTCCAGGGCCCCTGGGTGGACGGGCATCTCCACGAGGCACCTTAGTACAAGTAGCCCCTCAGATACACAAAGGCTTTTTGGAAGCCATCCCAATGTGGGGAAAGGGAATGCCTTCACCCTTACAATGAACCCAGACACCCCTGCAAGGAAAGCCATGTGTCTGGGTTCCACTGTATGTAGCATAAGCACGTGCAAACTGCCCCAGAACAAACACAAAGCTACCCCCATTGCGTCCCACAGCCTGCCACTCACCCACTGACCCAATCCACTGGAGCTGCATTTTCTTTTCCACACAAGGCGAGCCTGATTTGGGAAGAGCGCAGAGTTCCCAGTCCAGTGACCCCGAACAAGCCCAGGCCTCCCTGTCCCTTGGTTTCCTCTCCATGGCTTCCTTTGCCTGCTTTTTTGCCTCATGCACTCTAGCCTATGACTAATGCATCCTTAGACAGAGCAGCTGGAGACACCCTGCTTCTTTGAGAAGCAGATGGAGACCCAAAGAAACTGTTCTGGGACACAGAGGTCACAGATAGTTGCTGGGGTGTTGGTAGTACATGAACTATTTTAATTATCTATTGAATAAATATACAGGGCCCGGACCACATCAGGGACTGCTAAATCCGTGGCCAAAAGCAAACACATCTTAATCTAGCAGATTTCTTTTTCTCTCCAAGCTCTACTCAGCAAACCTTGCCTCCCTGACAAGCCTCCAGCTTTTCAGGGACTCAACTGCCCACTAGAGTGAAGAGGAGGGGAGGTGCTGAGTGTGAGCCAAGCCAGGGCACAAACACTCACTGGCAAAGGTAAGAGGGGACAAAGCACCTGTGACAGCTTTGAGGAAAACAGGGACTACGTCCTACAAGACAGCTGCTTAGGTCTAAGCACGTGCACTGGGCTTCCAGGTTAGAAGCCTCTGTTAGTGGGCCTGGACTCTGATCCTGACAAGTGGTTAATCTAGGAGAATTATTGAATCTTTCAGGCCTCTGACCTCAGTTGATCTGATGAACTGTAGAATGAGGCCCTCGGTAACCTCCACTACTAAGAGGCTACAAATGATCACTGGGATAAATCATACACAAAACCAAACATGGCTACCACGTGATCAATCATTAGGAGTGGAAAAACCCAACCCAAAACCTGTCTGGGGTTCCCAAGACAGCATTGGCAGGAACCAGGAGGAGGAAGAACCACAGGGGGTGAGAGCCAAAAGGAACCTCCGTGACCTTGAATCCAACCGTGTTTAAGGCAGAAAGAAATGTTCGAGAAGGTGGAAGGGTTTCCCAGGCTGCATAATTATCTGGTAACACAGCAAGGTTCAAACTCAGATCTAACTCACAAACTCCTGCCACCATCCACCGGGACCCATCTAGCCAAGGACAGCCTTTTCACAGAATCAGGGAGCACTCACGAGCAGACACCAAATAATGAGAGTACCAAGACAGCCCTGGGTGAGGAGGTAGGGAGATGAATAGTGAAGAGTCCTTGGAACTAGGAGGGAGGGGAATCACTTCTCAATTACCCAGCGTGGATGAGTGGTGTGCAACATATAAAGGACCGTACTTTATTGACAATCAACTATTTCAACTTCAAAAATAATGTAACTGGGTCACACTGTATGAGGTGAATCTCTTTACTCTCGGCTTTCTGCTAAGTGGAAGGAAATAAAACTTGCGGTTTACCGACCAACCTAATCCTTGCTCTATGAAGGTGTACCTGACTCCTATATCCAGATGCCTAGACACACCTCACCAACACTTAGTGGCATTATCCCCAGGGTCCAGGGCCACAACAACCTTTGCCTAGTATATCAGGGCAGGGAGCCAGGTGCTTGAGGGCTCAAAAGCCTGCCATCCCACAGACTCCAGCTGCCCGGAGTATGTATGAAATTATCACAAATCGAAAGATTTAAACTAAAACAGAAGTGTGAATACAACCTGAAAAGAATTTACATAACTTATGACTGAGTTGTTATTATTATTATTGTGTGGAATAAGGATGCAGAGCATTCTGTACCTCCTGCAAGGTACCTGAGTGCTGACAGGCCTGGCTCTAAAGTGATCAGCATGTTGGCCAAGGAATCTTGTTTCAGAAGCTAGGCTTTGACTTGAGAGAAGGCTCCTTTTCACTGAGGTGGGGGAAAACGCTCCCAGGAACACTGCTGAGCAACTGGGGACAACTGTGGACAGAGTCCTGAAGCTGAATGGAGGACAGATCTAGTCTGCAGCAGAAGACAGAGGCACTCCCCAAAAGTCTGCTCATGTGACCTGGAAACCCAGAGTGCCAAGGACTATATGTTGCTGCTGAGCATTCTGGGTAATTCCCAAAGACAGACACGATGTGGTTGCTGCCTATGAGGAACTGGCAGTCCACCAAGGAAGAGAAATCATGTACATATATAAATTAATAGTTCTTTACGCCTTCTTGGACCGTGTTGTGTGTGTTCGTTTAAGAGCACACATGTTTGGGCTGGAGAAACAGCCTGCCTGTTCAGCCTCAATTCAAGCCATTTGCCAATAATGAAGCTAAACTTCTCAGTTACAGCCCGCATACAATAAAGGTCAGCAATAATACTAATTGCTATATATTTTTCCAGGAACCCCAGGCAGACATATTACTATGTCTGTCCCCTTATATAGATGAAGAAATTAAAAGTTTCAAGAGGTTAAATAGGCAACTCTCCCAGAGTGACACAGTTAGGCATTCATAAAAGCATTCACACCTAGGCCTGCATTAAATTCAACTTGTGTCTCTCCCTCAACTCTTAGAGACTTGGCCCCACCACCACCTCCTTCCAAGCAACAGCTTCCAGCTGCCTCTGGGAGGAATGAGCCTCCAATTCCCACCAGCATGGCCACCTTGATGTCCCAGGCCCAGAGGATAAGGAAGGTACATCCTGAAGTCTGTGACCTCTGTGGCACCAGGACAGGGCCTTTAACTTGCCTTGGCACCCACTCAGCAGGCAGACTTTCCTGAGTGGCCTTCCTCTGTCTGCCCATCTACTTGCACTCCTAATGTGGCCACACCGTTGTAATGGCCGAGCACTGAGGCCCAGCCCATCTAATGGACTGAGACTGGCTTGACTGGTACAGGCCAGCAACCCCGGTCTAATGGCAGCGTGAAAGGCCCTGGGAACAGAGCTTATGTGGCTTCTGAGCTGTGTTTCCTTTTCCCTGAAGCAGCAGCCTGTACCCCACCTTCCTTGAGAAACCCTGGTGGCTGTGAGGAAGGTAGGTTGGGGGTGATAGGGAGAGGCTGACAACAGGGTTCCAGGCCCAGAAATCAGAGGGAGGACACTGTTGGATCACACCTGGCTTTGGGAGATCCCATGAGCCTGCTTCCTCTCTTCAAGTTCCTGCTCCGCCTCCCTCACTGGACACAGGGAGCGAGCGTGTGACATGAAAAGAGGCTGGGAAAAGTTAAACGTGCTTAAATGTGACCAAAGGGAGGACTCTGGGTGCCCAGGCCTACCCAGGCACACTGCCAAGTGAGACCAGAGGCCCCGTGATCCAGATAGGGGAGCTAGGAAGCTGCACAGAATGGCAGGTGCTGAAGATGGCTAAAGCTCACCCTTAGAAAACCTACTGGTGACAAGAATTCAAAGAGGGGGAAGCACACTCAAAAGAGTGTCCTAGCAGAGCCAGTTCCTGGCAGTGTGCCCAGGCACTTGCTGGCATTTGGTGACCCAGGCACTGCCTGGTGCCAAGATTATGGCCTGGTAGGCCTGGGCAGGGATCCTCAAGGGAGGCGGACCCCCCACGGCGAGGGCGGCCACCGTTAAGGTTCCCACCCTGAGCTGCCTAGAAACAGCAAAAGTACCTCTGCAGGCAACAGCCAGAACAGGGAGGCCAGCCACCAGCCTTCTCCCTGCCTGCAAAAAGAGATCCCCTCAGGGGGAGCTGGGCAGAGGCAACTAGTCTTCTGTGCTCAGCAGGACAGCCTGGAGGGTGGAGCTGGCTGGTACAGAAACATTGGCCGAACAAGTGAGCTAAACAGTGTCTTCCGGAAGCCAGCCTGGTCTAGTCCGAGAAGCAGCAGCACCCTGGGTCCTGGTGTGCCACCTTCAACATGTCCTCATCTCTCCTGGAGCTTTTCACTCCTCCTTTTTCAGACTTGTGGAACCCGGAATCATTCCTGAGCCTATTACTGACTGTCCCTTGTCTTACTGGCCCTTCCAAATGTTCCAACCCCACTCCAGGCTGGACCTCACCTGCTCCCTCAGACTCTCTCTGATTGCAGAGGCTTCAGCACTGAGGTCATGGGCAGTGTCAGGATGGTAGTTCTCTGGACACCCAGCCCCCTCCTGTTTCTCTAACTGCAGATCTGCTGAGCACCCCTGCACAGAGCCCAGGAAGGCAATGTGGGCTGGGATCCAAATGCCCAGAGAGTACCTGGCTGGCTAGGAAGGAGGCTTATGCACTTTCATCTCCTCTAGCTTATCCCGAAGCCTCCCAACACCGGGTATCATAGAGTACCTTGGGCTGCTATGAACTCACCGGAGAGGGATCTTGACTCGGAGGTATCGATCCACAGCAATAGCAAGCAGAGCCAGGATGGAGCTCTGGGTGAGGATGAGGACAGGACAGGCCACCATGAGGCAGGTGTGGAAGTAGGTCTGTGGCCCAATGTTGATAAGGATAGCCAGTGGGATGACCAGGGCGCCAACGGCCACATCAGCTACCGCCAGGGATACGATGAAGTAGAAGGTGGCATCGCGAAGTGCCTGGTTCACCTTCACAGCCCAAATCACCAGTACATTTCCGGGCACAGAGACCAAAGCAATGAGCACCTCGATGCCAATGTAGGCAGCCTGGAAGGCCGAGATGTAGGGCGGCATGGTGGGCAGGAGCTGGGCACATCAGCAGACAGGCGCCCTGGGGCACGAGGCCAGCACCTGTGGTCAGGAAGCCTGCGGTGGGGATGCCAGCCTGGGAAGGAGGGGAACATAGGCAGCCCTGCGAAGATGTGCCTCAGTAAGTGCGTGCAGTGCCTGCCCAGGCTGGCCAGGCACTCAGGCTCGCTATCTGCTTAACCTCTGTCCCCTCCCCTTGTCCTTAGAGGTTCCATTCAGCAACTTAAAATAGCAGCCCTCACTCCACCACTGGCTTTTGTATCAGGTGTGAGGTAGCTCCCACTACACTTACTCCGCAAGGATCCCCTGTGCATCCACAATGCCCACAGGTGTCCGCCGACCCGGAGGCAAGGAGCTCACCATCCTGCCTGCCAACCAGTAGGGGGTCCCAAAGGCGTTGCCCTAAGTTCCCCGGGCGGCTTTCCGGAGCCGCGCCGGGCAGGGCTGGGCTCTCGGCACCGCGCGCACATCGGCTCATCGTTCTCCAGGCTCCCGCCGCTGCGCTCCCAGCCCGGCCTTTCAAGCAATCACATGGTGTGGCAGAGGCTCAGCCCCGGACGCGTTTAAAGAGGTAGTGCCCCTGTTTCATACCTGGGACTGGATGGCAGGCGTGATTCTGAGGGACTAAGCCCAGGACCTGGCGGGTCCACGGGCTCCCATTCCCCGCGTGCGCGCACGCCTACCTTGTGCCCACCCACCTGGGACGCCGCCGGTGCCCGACTCTTAATAGTAGCCTGGTCTCACTCCAGCTCTGCCCAAATCCTTGACCATCGACTGCCCCAAGGGGGGCATCCTAGTCATTTCATCCACCCCTTTCCTGCACACCCGTGGTGCACGAACTGAGCCACAGACTTACCCAAGGTCACACCAAAGCTGGCAGAGCTCCTGGCCACCTGAACTGTCTAGCCAAGTATCCCCAGACTTCGAAACCTTGGGCAGTCGCTCCCTCAGAGGATGCCAGGGAACCCAGGGCTAGCCAGTTAGGTCCAGGGGGTGGTAGCCAGCCGAGACTCCACTCTGGCGCCGGCGCCTTCGTCGCCCCCGGCGCGGGAGCTGAGTGACAATCGGGCTCCGCACACCGGGAGGGGGAGGGGGCGGGGGCGGCGGCGGCACCCGCGGGCCCCTCCCTCGTCGCCCTCCGTCTCCTCCCCTACCCCCTCCTCTAAACAAAGGAAGTGATTCAGTGTGAGAAAAGCTGGGGAAACGTGAGCGTCTCGAATAGTGTGATGTATGGATCCGGCCTCGGGACAGGGACGGTACCGAGGTGCCGCCTCCCGTGTTCCCTCCCTCCCTCCCTCCCTTCTCAATGCGGCAGGCGGGCAGCCCAAGCCCTAATCACCTGGGACTCAAGGATTCCCTCCTCTGATCTCCCACCACCAACAACCATTGGCATCTGGGTCCCTCCCCTAATCTTAAAACCTACTCTCTTCAGGAAAGCAGTCCCCGCACTGTCAGGAGCGCACAGGCTTCCCGCACACACGTTACTTTGCAGGCAGTCTCCTGAGTCATAGCCCTTTCTCATCCATCTTTCAGAGTGCTTTTCAGGCTCTTCGTAATTTCCATTTTGCAGATGAGGATGCTGAGGCTCAGAGGAATGCCCCAGATTCTCAAGACCACCACTGTCAGTGTCATACTACTATGCTCCTTCCCCCTCCTCCTCCTCCTCCTTTTCCTCCTCCTTCTCCTCCTCCTTCTCCTTCTCCTTCTCCTTCTCCTCCTCCTCCTCCTCCTCCTCCTCCTTCTCCTTTCTGCCCCAGCACCTAAGACCACACAGTATCTAGTCCAATCCCTTGTGTTCCAGAAAAAGATTCAGGCTGGGGAATGAAAGGAACTTGCCAAAGACTAATGCATGGAAGCACCAGCACAGTGCCCTCCCCACAGTGCCCTCCCCACAGTGCCCTCCCCACAG